CACACTCCCCAGTGGCCGAGGGGAAGAGCTGGGGTTGCTAAGTGCTGCTAACAGGGGGCACAGTCCCCTAATACATATAAATAAATATATAAAAATAAATATATAATATTTATTTTAAGTGCTTAGGAAGCCTTAGAAGGATGCTTTAATTTATATATAAACAAATCTGATGGCATTAAAAGACTAGAGACAAGAGAATGGGATGTGTGAAACTTATTCCAGATAATTGCTTATATGTTATAATAGTGGGCATTGCATAAAAAAGATTCTTTAATCATTGTCAAATATATAAAAATAAATATATAATATTTATTTTAAGTGCTTAGGAAGCCTTAGAAGGATGCTTTAATTTATATATAAACAAATCTGATGGCATTAAAAGACTAGAGACAAGAGAATGGGATGTGTGAAACTTATTCCAGATAATTGCTTATATGTTATAATAGTGGGCATTGCATAAAAAAGATTCTTTAATCATTGTCAAATTGAAATTTGACTTATATTTTTTATCAAAAGGTACAGAAGATGAAACAGTTTCAGATATGCAATATTCTACCCAGTGTATTAACCAAGAACCCTACATGCATCAAGATGATGATCAGCAGCAGGGATGGGTTTCCTGGGCCTGGTCTTTTGTTCCTGCTATTGTGAGTTATGATGATGGAGAGGATGACTTCACTGGAACAGAATGTGGAACTATACTGCATCAGCAGAAATCCCAGGTCCTTAAGGATCCTATTATTTCTGTTGGGTTTTACTGCACAAAGGCAACTGTGACATTCAAGGTAACTACGTCTCTACATTATAGAGAGTCTAATAACTGTTTTGCTGAGCAATGAATTAATGTACAGGCAGTCCCCGGGTTACGTACAAGATAGGGACTGTAGGTTTGTTCTTAAGTTGAATTTGTATGTAAGTCGGAACTGGTACATATTGTAGGGGAAACTCTAGCCAAACATTTCTCCAGAGCTCAGTTTTATTCTCCCACACCTCACTTCCCTCAGTCCTTTATTCTCAAGCTGAGGTGTCTGCTATGCTTTCTTCCCTAAGTCGATGTCCTGGCGATTTGGCTCACCAGACTCACTCCCATGTTCAGCCCCAGCCTTGTCCCCCTTGTCCATATCCACATGGTCCCTTGCTCCAACTCCTGGGGAAGTGACCCCCGCACCAGAGGTGGTGACAGTGGGGGAGGCACCCCGCACTCGCTGCGCTCTCTCCCCCCCCCCCGCCGTTCGTAACTAAGGATCCGACGTAAGTGGGAGTGACCTAACCCGGGAACTGCCTGTATTAGATTTCAGTGGTGGGTCGTTCCTCTCTTTAGTAAAGGAACTATATATTACTGAAAATATGAAGCAATTGAAAAGGTTTATTCTTCATCAAAAGTTGCAGTTAAGTTGGGTTTGTGAGCCTTGATGATTGATACAAAATTTAGTTCAATGGAAAAAAAAATCTAGTTCCGAAGAGAAACCATTTTGATGTAGCACTAAATAAAAAATCTTTAAAGAAAAAGTTCTTAATACCAAAGAGTATCCATGAACATTCATTTTAATGTTTAATATAATCTTCTGAATCTATATGACTTTTATGTAAATTAATTTTGACATCTTGTAAAAGTACTTTTACTGATATATCGATTATATCAGTTATTTTCTTTACTGTATAGTAATGGTTACTCTGGAACACCCAAGATTAAAATAAAATTTAGTTGACATAATTTTTAAATACTGGAATTTCAATTCTGAGTAACCTTAGGAACAGTAAAGTAAGAACTTTTTTATATTTAGAGAGGATAAGAGAGAATTAATAATCTCAAATAATAGATGAATAAATTCTGCTTATTCCTGTTGAGAATTTTCAGATAGGAATACTTACTTGATAGTCATTGATTTTATGTAGTGTTGTTAATAACTTAATTACTGAGAAAAACTCATATTTACTGGAAGGAATTAATTTGATAAAAAACTGGCATCAAGTTTAGCAAAATATTTAAATGCATGCCAAATTTTATATCCATGAGTAGCCCAAAGTTAGACTACTAAAGAGTTTATAGTGAGGCACATGTTGAATAAAGCCCAGAATGTTTTAGAACAGGAAATGCTGGATGGAGAATCTGCATTTAAAAAACAAAAGTTGATGAAAAAGGGATAAAAGTTTCAACCACTTCATCTCTAAAAGTTGCTAATTATTGGACACTTGAATGTGATATAGGAATGTGAATAATTTTATATAAAATATTTATTAGGTCCTTGGAACATATCTTGTTTAGTTGTCATGTTCCCTGTTCAGTTAAAAATGTTAATTAATATGAATGGAAGAAAATATATAGCTTTCCCATCATTTTCCTTTATTTAATTTTGTTTAAAAGAATGTGAGCAACAGTTTTAAAAAAATGCAGTTGGAACTTAAACAGTTTTGCTTTGTTTTGTATTCCCAAGTGCAGTATTGAATCTTGGTTTTACAGCTCTTGCTCACATGAGAAGTCCTACTGAAGTAATTGGAACTATTTACATCAGTGGTTCTCAACCTTTCCAATGTACTAATGTACCACTTTCATGAGCATGATTTGTCTTAGGTACCCCCAAGTTTCACCTTACTAAAAAAAACTATTTACTTACAAAATATACATAAAAATAAAAAAGTGTTAAGCACACTATTACTGAAAAATTGCTTACTTTCTGATTTTGTATGAAATTTTAGTTAATACAGACTTTGCTAGTGATTTTTATGTGGCTTGTGAAATTAGGCAAATATCTAGATGAATTGCTGTATACCCTGGAAGATCACTGTGTTGTGAACCACTGATTTACATTACCGAGGGTTTCAGGATCTTAATGTTTGTGGAAGTGGTAAAATTTACTGATAAATTATGGCCTCTTGCATTTGATATTTTTAGAATGTAAAGTGGTATATGAGAAGCAGTATGGTGACATAGAAGGAAAACATTAGAATTCATTGTTCTGCTTGCATGCAAAGAATGTATGGAATTAATTTGTGGTTCATATTTTGGTCAAAAAATAAGGTCAGGTTTCTGCATTAGCATTTTGAACAGTTGATTCCATTCCAGCTGAAAAATCATGCCAAATTAAATGTAGCATTTTTGTAATAATGTTGAAAATTGTTCTTGTAATGTCTGAGTTCTTTTAATCAATTAATTGCTTTTCCTCCACAATAATTGCACACAGCTGAAGGATGATCAGTTTTTTTAAACCAATGTTACTCGAGCTTTTGGATTACAAAATTTTACATAGAAAAAGCAGTCCTTTGTGTACAACCCTGGAAATAACTAAATAATGAGAGCTGGTATATACTTTTAATAAAAATTAAAACTTGAATTATTAATTTCAGCTGATCAAAAATATATAAAACAATGTAAAGCTAAAAGAAAGTACTAAAATGTATCCCCTTCGTTATTATGTATCTTTTCACTTCATATAATGGAGCATTTAACTGTACTTATCGAACTTTATATTTCTTTACTGCTTTAAGATTTTCATAAATATCTGAATTTAGCGCATAGAAAATAAAATTTAATAGAATTTTATTTTAAAATAACATCTGAAACAAGAAATCTAGGTATGATTCAAATTCATGGTGTTTCCTTCAATGTTATTTATGCAGTGAATTATTTATTATGCTGCATAAGTGTTTTAATAAGTTTTTGGATTTTAGAGGTGTTCGTAAATTGGCATATGTATTGCAGTTGTATATCTGTTTTATCTTTTATCCATTGCTGATATTAAAAAGCTCAATAAAATACTACAGTATTTTAAAACTTTCTTAGCAATACTTGAGATTAAATTGGCATATTGAACTAGAAGTTCTCGTATTCTAATATGGATAATGCGTTACAACTGTTTTTACTGCACCTGTTTCCCGCCTAATAGTACATTTTGGCCTATGCTAAAGTTTAATTTGTTTTCATCAATTCTGTATAGTAATGACAGATTATTGCTTTTAATGCTAATACTGTGGCTTATATAAGTGTTTATCATATTGTTTCATAGCTTACTGAAATGCAAGCTGAAAGTAGTTATTATAGCCCTCAGAAAGTAAAATCCAAAGAAGTTATACGTTGGGAGCAAGAAGGAACCACAATTGAGGTATTCCATTACAACTAAACTTTTCAGGTTATAGTAAATGCCTTAGCAAATTGATGAATAATTGTATTTTTATTAAACATTTTGAAATGGTAGTTAATATTTGGTTGTGTATTTCTATTTTATTGGTTAACTAAAGTAATCCCTATTCTCAATACAAAGTTAAGACATCAATGCACTAAGATTTGGTAACAGTGTATTTCTAAGTATGATATTATTTAATTAATGTATTGCATAATTAAGAACTACATTAGTAAAGCTTACCATACATTTTAATTTTCTCTACTTTTTTGGGTTTTAGTCTTTAATATCTTCAGTAGTATAGCATTTGTTATATTACTTTTTTGTACCTCTGATAGGTGCTTATGATGGGGGAACCGTTTTTTGACTGCCAAATAGGTTTTGTTGGTTGCCAAGCAATGTGCCTTAAAGGAATAATGGGGGTTAAAGACTTTGAAGAGAATGTGAACAGAAGTGATGAAGTAAGTACATTGCAATACTGTTGATTGTTAAATACATATTAAGAAATATTTAATATGTGGACAAAGGGTATGTTCTCATAGGAATCCTGTGTTTAATGGTAATGTGTATAACTGGCATGGTTTTGAGGAACTATCTCACTCAGAGTAACAATGCTATACACTTACTAAACCATAAAAAACTATAAATTTATTTCTTGAAAATGCAGTTTCCTGCACATTTATTTGCCAAATGTTTTGTATTTAATAATCCTATAGCTACTAATACTTTATAGTTATACAGCACCTTCTAGCTGCAAATCTCTTTTTCAAAGACACTTGTTTTGCAACAATCATGACATGTATTATAGTTTGTGTTGAATCATGGCTGCCTATTTGAATTGAATCCTGTGAACTTATCTTTCTCCCTGCAACAACCATGGTTTTTCTTTGATTGCTTGCTCATGTTAATTTCCTTTGGGTGGGGAGTGCACAGTTCTCTGAGATTTTTGCCTTAGAAGTATCTCTAGGAGAGGCTGTGGTGCTCTCTTAGGTGCTGCCCTCGTGTTGATAAATTAGGTGCTGCCAGTCCTATGCTTCTTCTTTCTTCTTACCACCCATGGTGGTTGTTTAAGGTGCTTTTCTTTTGCCTAACAAGTGATCACTGGTTCACTCCTTTTCTTCAAGTTTTTAGTGTATTGTTTATATAGTTAGTTAGTTGTTAAGTACTGTAGTTAGTAAGTTAGAGTCCTGGTGGGGAATTAGCTGCAGGTGGGATATGCCCTGTTCTCTACGTTTTGCCCTGTTTTGACTGTAATAAGCATATCACTGACTGCCTTAGCAGTTGCTTGAAATGCTTGGGGGGAATCACAAGTGAAGGACAAGTTCTTCATCTGTAAGAAGTTTAGTCCAGAACACAGAAAAAGTGTGATATTCATTTGAAGTCCTCCTCATGGAGACTGCCCCCTGCCTGGCCTCAGAGCCTTCTTAGCTGGATTCAGCTCCCTTTGGCATCGGTGTGTAGTGCTCTTTTGGCACTGCTCCCCTTTGCCAGTGCACAAAAAGAAGTCAAAGCATCACAACTCTCAGACACGGGGTAAGAAACGCCAAGGGGCACTAAATAAAGGACCCAGTTCAAGCCTCCCACCCATCCTGGAGCAACATGGTGGTGCTTCCCGAAAGGACCCTCCTTAGGCCCCTGAGGGATCCACCACCATCTACAAGTTAGGATAGGGTATCAGGCGCATAGTGGGGCTGACACCTTCTCAATCCATCATGGCACCTAGAGAGCAAAAATCTCTCCTAGCACAATGGGCATTGTATTCTGCAGTATCCCTGACAGTCTTCCCACGAGGGGAAGCCATAACCCTTGAGAGGGTGAGTGAACTCCCACCAGTCTCTGAACTGGAGGCAGCAGATTCAGTCACCATGCCCAGGTCTCCGCAACAACTCTGGTCTCTCATCCTCAGCTTCATTTTTTGCCACTGCAAGCATGGTTGGCATCCATTTACATCCCCATCAGACTTGATCTACAGTAGATAATCTGTGTGCTAAATAATGAATAGTCATTGCTGGATTGGTGGTTAGAACCCCAATTGGCTTTGGAAGGAGTTCCTTTTGTTGCCCCATCCCTGTTGCTGATCCTGGTTTCCAGTGCCTCTGACCTGGGCTGGGAAGCCAATGTGGATGAGATCAGTACACAGGGCCACAGGTTGCAGGAAGATCACTCTCTTCACATAAACATCAGGGAGATTTGTTTGGCCTGCCAGGCTTTCCTGCCCTATCTAGATGGCAAAGTGGTACGAAGTCTGACAGATAATACTGCTATTGTGTATTACATCAATGAGCAGGGCAGAACCAGGTTGTCGGTCCTTTACCAAGAAACTCTCACCTTTGGGCCTTCTGTGTGCAGAATGCTGTTTGTTTGGTGGCAGCACATCTTTCCCAGGATTGTTAGCAAATTCTCAGCAGGACTTCCTTTTCTTGCCATGAGTGGTCATTCTGTCCAGAGGCAGTTAGTGTAATCTTCCAGAGGTGAGGAACTCTCCTGGTTGAATTGTTTGCTTTCAGTCAGAACAGGAAGTACCATGTGTTCAGCTTGATTCGGGGGATAGACAGGGAGTCCCCCTCAGATGCCTTTTTACTCCCTTGATTGGGAACTGTGATGCTTGCCTTCTTGCTGGTGGCCTTCATCCAGAGTCCTCATAAAAATCAAACAAGACAAGGCAATGGTCATTCTGATAGTTCTGGGTTGGCCTTGCCAGCACTGATTTAGCATACTGCTGGATTTTTCCATAGTTTCCCTGCTAAAGCTGCCTCTTTGGCTGCATCTGCTCTCCCAGAATAATGGTGATGTTCTGTACCTGAACCCGGTGACTCTGCATTTGACAGATTAACTACTGCATGGCTGAATGTGGAAGAACAGGAGTGAGTCCAGCAGGTCTTGTTGTATAGCAGAAAGCCCTCCACTAGAGCTACTCACTGGCCAAATGGAAAAGGTTCATGTGCTGCTTCTTGGACCAATGTACCTGGGCCAAATGGGCCTTGCTGTAGGCTATCCTGGACTAACTTAGGCTCCTTAAGCACCAAAGGTTACCCCTGTCATTGATTAAGGTCCACTTGGCAGCTGTTTTGGCCTCCTGCTCCCATTCTAGTGCAGGTTGGTCTTTGCTCACAACATTATGGTTTAGTTTTTGAAAGGTCTGAAGTGAGTCTTTCCCCATGTTTGGGGCCTGGTGCTCTTGAAGCTCATTAGTTCCCCCTTCAAGCCTATGTCTCCCTGCTCCCTTCTTTCCTGGAAGGTTTCTTTCCTTGTTGCAATAACATCTGCCCACAGGATCTCTGAGATCAGGGCATCTACATTGGACTCGCTCTATACTGTATTCAACAAGGACGAGGTCCAACAGTGGCTGCATCCTGCCAAAACTAGTTTCTCAGTTTCCTACCAGCCAGAACAAAACTGCCTCAAATGGTGATTTTTAACTGACCACTTGACTAGGACTCAGGTCTCATTAGTTGACTTACTGGCCCAAGTATCGATTCAAGGTATCTGCAGGACCACTGCTTGGTTACCTATCCACACGTTTACATTGCATTATATACTTAACAGCAGATCTGAGAAGGTGCTGGCTTTGGAAGAGCAATATTACAAGCTGCATGACAATGAGCTACAGGGATACTGCTTGGGAGTCACCTAGAATGAATTCGATGTGAGCAAGCATTCGAAGAAAAAATGGTTACCTTTTCATCACTGTTGTTCTTTGAGATGCACGGCTCATGTCTAGTCCATTACTCTCTATCGGAGTTGCTGGCAAGAATGATCTGGGAGAGTGTAGAGCCAGTAGTGCCTAATATACTGTCACATGAGGACAGCACATCAGAGGGTGACGCAGCTGACCTTACGGATACTGCTAAGGCAGAAATCTCTGACAACTGTGCATGTGAACATAAGCCTCTAGAATGGAATGGATATAAGTAACACATCTCAAAGAACAATAGTTATGAAAGGAAGGTACATGTTTTTTGTCTTTATCTTTTTACTGGGTTCCCACAGTGTCATCTTACAGAGTCACAGGTAGAGTATAATTTAAAAAAGTAACTACTCTTAATGAGAAGTGAAAATGCTTAGCCTTATCCAAAAGACAAGAAGGAGACATTGGAGGGTTATGTATAAGACTGTGACTGGAGGAGGATAAGGCAGTTAGCAGTGTTCCCTCTAAGATTTCCCATCCATGAGTGGAGTGAGTTTTGTCCTGTCCAATATTGACGACATGTGCGCTTGTTTGGATGTGCGCCATCATGGCACCAACCAGTTACTAGCAAAATATGTATACATGCATATATTTAAATTGTTATACAAGAAAAAATACCAAACCAAGGGATAACAATGAGGTACATGGCCCTGTGGTACAGGAATCGGGGCAAGGGGTGGGAGATATGGGGTGGCTCAGGGTACAGGATTCAGAGCAGGGGGGAACTCTGGATAGGGAGCTGGAGGTCAGGGAAGTGACAGCTCCTTACTGGGGAGAGGCTGGAGCTGGTCTGCCCATTCTTGAAGGGGGTGGGCCCAGGACTGGTCTGCCCAGTGGCCCAGGAAGCTGCTCACTGGAGGAGGGGGGTGGAAGTGAGGTTGGGCTGGGCTGCCAGATTCCCTCAACTGGTGGGGGAGAGAAGAGCTGGGGCTGAGCTGATCAGCACGCCCAGCGCGCTGCTCCTGGTGTAAGAGTACCAGGGGTGCTGGATGGCAATCGCCCGCCTGGTGGTGCCTCAGCCGAGAGCCAGGGGGATAGGTTTGGGGGCCATGGGGTGGTTCTGGGCTCGGAGCTACTGCTGCCACCTGCCATGTCGCCACTCCAGTCCCAGCCCAGAGCAGTTGCCGCTGCTGTCACCTGCCATTTGGTGGCTCTGGCCAGGGCCACCCGAGTAGCAGCCCCACACCAGTCCTGTCCTGCCCAAGCAGCTGCCACCCACCACTCAGCAACTCGGGTCCTGGCTGGGCTGTGATGTCCCATTCACCATAACTGGAACTGGGCTGGTGAGGCTGTCCAAATAGGAACACTTTCACCATGCCCTGGCACCAGCTGGATCAAATGAGAGGAGGGCAGTGCAGCTGCTCTCCACCATGGTGCTGCCAGAATCCACCAGGCCACCACCACCACCTCCACCAGGAAAGTGAGTGGTTGGAGTGCGGCTGCACATCTCTGCAGGCAAGATGGGTAGGCCTAAAATTTTTTGTGCTCTACCGCGCAGGCATGCAGCTTAAGAGGGAGCCCTGGGAGTGAGCAGTTTATAGTTTGAAGCAGCCATGTATATTGTGAATAGATGATTGTGAGGGCAGTAAACTAGGAAGGGGAATATACAAGGCTAAAGAAGAAAACAGGAAAAGATGGAGAACATATTTCAGTATAAAAATAATTTGAGTGTCCTCACTCTTAATATCAAGTTTACGGTAAGTATTCTGAGCTTAAAAAACTATGGAAGGGTAGAGTTCATTAGCCCAGGATATTTTTTATTAATTTGTATATAAGGAAAAGTTAGTTAAATAATTGTTTTAGTATCTTGAGTTATATCCGTATTGTTGCCAAAAACTCGGGAGTGGATTTAAAGTGCGTTGTTTCAAGTTTTCACAAAGATTAATGTGCAGTTTGCGCACACAATTGTATGCAGAAACAGCAAAAATGTTTGGTCATACTAACCTGATTTTTTCTCCTGTTTGCCCGCTTGTGTCTCTTACTCTTTTTTTAAAAAACCTATCTTTTAAGGATGCCTACTTCTTCAGTTGTGGAGAAAATCTGAGTACAAAAGGCATGACGTACCTTACCAATTCACTATTTGATTATAGAAGTCCAGAAAATAATGGTATTCGTGCGGAATTTATTTTGGATGCAGCTCATCATAAGGTTAGATAATTAATTTTGTTTTCTTTCATTTTTTTTTTAATTTTCAGTGGATTTTGAAATCCACATTCTAAGACCACAATCTGTTATACTTTCTTATGTTAAATGGTACCAGACTCCACAGGTGGCCTTGATGGCTCCCCTAAAGGGCAAATTTGGACCTCAGTATTATTTTCAAAAAACGCTGAATAAATCTATGCACCTAAAAATAAGTGGCCTGATTTTCAAAAGTGCTGAGTACCCACTAGCTACATTCATTTCAAAGTCTCTGGGCCTGTAGAAGAAATCTGAAATGAGAAGGGGCACCATCATCATATATCCAAACAGTTCTTCAAGTGATGTCCCTGTGAATGCTCCACTGTTGGTGTTGGGTTCATCCCGGCACCGAAGATCGGGGAAGGCAGTGCTTAGTCAGGCCATGCATGTGCGAGAGCGGCGCATGTCATTTGCGTCTTTGGAGTTTGCACGCTCGGCCCAACTTACCTCAGTTCTGTCTTGACCTCTCTTGGTCGCAGATGGAGCTCAATCCTCTCCTCCTTTGCAGTTCTCTGTTGACAGGAATTAAGTAAATTAGTTAAAAATCATTTCATAACTTGTGTTTTATGGTTAGTATTATTTAGCGTAAAAAATAAAAAGACTTTTTTTCCTCAGAATTGTTGTAAATAGTTAAGATGCAGTCCCCGAGGGTCAGTGCATCTATAACCGGAGGGCCACGGCCCTCAGGCTTTTTTTTTTTTTTAAAAGTGCACGTTGTCTATAAAGAACGGGAAATAGCAAAATGCCATCCTCTCCCAGAAGTGTGCTCACTGCCAGAGCCTTATGGCCAAAGCCCATAAAGACAGGGAGCTCAGCTTAGGTATGCTTCTGTTTGACAACAAGCTAGAGCTACAGAGAAGCTGTGGCAGTGACTTGGTAACGAAGCAGAAAGAGTCTCAGAGCTAGCTACCACATAAGCCCACTACCAAACAAAGGGTCTCTCCAGCTCGCTCCCTCCCACCAAGGGTCAGTATGGAAGACAAGACAAGCACTTCGGGAACAGCACGGCCACTTGTAGCATTGGTGATGGAACTGCAGTTTTACCCGAAGCAAATTGCAGCACCGACTAGTTCAGCACCAAAGAGATCCGGTGCCAAGGAGCAGGACAAGATGGTGGTACCTCCTGCACCTTCCAAGACCTCAGCTCCCACTAACGCCAGGTCAAAATCAACAAAACTAGTGCTGCACAATGCCTCTCCCTTCACATTCACATTCTCCAGCACCACAAGAACTAATGCATAGACGTCACCGCCATACAGGGAGCACGCAACCATCGGTGCCATACATGGAACCAAGATTGGGACCTTCATATACTCCTACTCTGACACCACTCCCGATTCCCACTCTTATTACATGACTCTCTGATTCCACCACAAGTGCCAGTACTCACACTACAGTGACTGAGGGGGACCGTAGGAGTATATTCTCATACCACCCTCATGGTACGCCAACTGGTCTTATTGCCTGTATCACTCACCCCGTTGCTTTCCATACCGCCATTGGGCAACCCCATGGCAGCAACCTACCATACAGTCAACTCTGGCTCACAGATCACTACCTCCTTTACACCTGCATGCCTCCCCCTCTCATACCATAGAAATGGAAACAGGAGGGACAGATTATCGATGACCCAGATACCGACCACTCAGATGCATAATCAACTGACAAGTCTTCCTCATCCCCAGATGAGTGGTCATTCCAGAGGACCAGTCACCAACTGATGACCTCAGGCAATTCCAAGATTTGTTTAAGAGGAGTCTACTGTCCAGGAGGTAGTGTTATCAGAGATGCTGGAAAAACAACACACATTTTTGAAGAATCTTTCTCAAAGTTGAGGATACTCTACCCCTCAATGAGGCGACTCTAGAGACAGTGGACAAGGTATGGCAAATGCTAGCCTTGGCTCCACCAGCTAAGAAAAGAGTGGATAGGAAGGGTATGTCTACACTAGCTCGTTAATTCGAGCTAGGTAGGCAAATGAGGTGACCGGAGTTGCAAATGAACCCCGGGATTTAAATATCCCGGGCTTTAATTGCATGTTCCCGTCCGGTCGCCATTTTGAAATTTCACTGGCCTGAATTCACTGCTGCGCAGCTACACGCGGCAGTGAAACGTTAATTCAAACTAAGTCCTTATGAGGAATGAGGAATAACAGTTAATTCAATCTAAGGACTTAGTTCGAATTAACGTTTCACTGCTGCGAGTAGCCGCACATCCCGGTCGCCATTTTGAAATTTCACTGGCCTGAATTCACTGCTGCGCAGCTACACGCGGCAGTGAAACGTTAATTCAAACTAAGTCCTTATGAGGAATGAGGAATAACAGTTAATTCAATCTAAGGACTTAGTTCGAATTAACGTTTCACTGCTGCGAGTAGCCGCACATCCCTGAGTTCGGGCTAGTGAAATTTCAAAATGGCGACTGGACAAAATTAAGGTTGTCATTTTGTTTCCCAGTCACTCAGTTTGGTGAGATCTTTTTGAAGTTCTTCACAGTCTCCTTTGGTTTTGACTAATCTTGAACAGTTTAGTATCATCCGCAAACTTTGCCACCTCTCTGCTTATCCCTTTCTCTAGATCGTTTATGAATAAGTTGAATAGGATTGGTGCTAGGATTGGTGCTGTTCCTTGGGGAACACCACTAGTTACCCCTCTCCATTCTGAAAAATTTCCATTTATTCCTACCCTTTGTTTCCTGTCTTTTAAGCAGTTCTCAATCCATGAAAGGATCTTCTCTCTTATCCTATGACAACCTAATTTACACAAGATCCTGTGGTGGGGGCCTTGTCAAAGGCTTCCTGGAAATCTAAGTATACTATATCTACTGGATCCCCCTTGTCCACATGTTTGTTAACCTCTTCAAAGAACTGTAATAGATTAGTAAGACATGATTTCCTTTTACAGAAACCATGTTGACTTTTGCCCAACGAATTATGTTCTTCTGTGTCTGACAATTTTATTCTTTGCTATTGTTTCAACTAATTTGCCCGATACTGACGTTAGACTTGCTGTCCTGTAATTGCCATGGTCGCCTCTAGAGCCCCTTTTAAATATTGGCGTTACGTTAGTTGTCTTCCAGTCCTTGGGTACAGAAGCTGATTTAAAGGATAGGTTACAAGCCACAGTTGTTAGTTCCACAATTTCACATTTGAGTTCTTTCAGAACCCTTGGGTGAATGCCATCCAGCCCGGTGATTTGTTACAGTTAAGTTTTTCAGTTAGTTCCAAAACCTCCTCTAACAACACTTCAATCCGGGACAGTTCCTTATATTCACCACCCAGAAAGGATGGTGCAGGTTTGGGAATCTTTTTGGAGAAATGTTTTGAAATCATCGTGACTTTTAATAAAGATAAGTTCAAAGTACTACACCCAGGGAGGAAAAATCAGAGACATGTCTATAATATGGGACTAACTGGGTAGGCAGTGGCTCTGCAGAAAAAGATAAAAAATGATAAAAGGTTTAGAAAACCTGACCTCTGAGGAAAGGTTAAAAGAGCAGGGAATGTTTAATATCAAGGAAAAAAAATTGAGGTGGGATCTGATAATTTTGCAAATACGTAAAGGCCTTTATGAAGAGGATGGTGATCATATTTTCTCAAAGTCCACTAGATAAGAAGTAATTGGTTTAGTCTACGGTAAGAAAGATTTAGGTTAAGTATTAGGGAAAAAAATAAAGCAAATTAAGTACTGGAATAGTACAGGAAGGTTGTGGAATCCCTATCACTGGAGGATTTTAAGAACATGTTCAATAAACAGCAGTTAGGGATTATTTAGCTATACTGGGTCCTGCCTCATATTGGGGTAGGAAAAGGAGAAATGGTCCTTTCCAGGCCTATATTTCTTTGCTTTTATGTACTGCTTATTAGAAAAAGAAAAATTATGAAAAGAGCAGTACAGTAGGTATAAATCTAAACATGTAGTAACAGAGTGAAATTAGTAAAGACACAATTCTAAACATTTATTGCTCGTGAATGCCATGTACTTACCTTTAAATTAAAGTCCCTTTGAGAAGCTTTATATCCTTCTCTTGCTTATATGAAAATCTAGTATGAGAATTTGTATAAATAATGCTGTAGTGATTTTTAAAGTGTTTAAAAGGCTAATGATGATAGGCATTCTTTGGTGTAAAAAAATTCAAAATATGTTAGAATTAATAGCTTAGTTTAAATGTTACAGTGTAAGATCTCCTATGATGTGAGAGGTCATGTGAAGAATATTTATTGCATTAATATATAGCTTACTAATATCTTTAACAAACTGCTCAAACTGTTAAGCAGAATTATGGATCTCTTTCTGTGCAGTATGCAATAGAATTTGGACTACCTATCTGAAAGGTGAATTTTCTGAGAATCTCTGTCTTTTGTTTTGATAAGCCTTTCTATATGTTAATGCACAAACCCAAACAAGCATATATATCTTTGATACTAGGCATATTAGTTTGTAATCTCAAGATTATTTCCTTATACCACTTCTATTTTATTTGCTGTGCTTTGTTGATAGGAGACATACTCAGAGATAGCTGGAATGCAGAGGTTTGGTGCCTTTTACATGGATTACTTGTACACAATGGAAAGCACCTGTGGCAAAGGTACTCCTTTTCTTTGTTTTGCTCTCCCTTGAAAAACAGAAAATAGACTTTGAATATTCCTCCCCCCGGCCTTGACCAAATATCCTCTACCTTACCATAGATTTGTCTTTGGAATTGCATGTTGGAATGGTTTAATCTGGACTAACACATTTGAGTATTCTTAGATTCTTGGTGTTCTAAATTTTTTCTCATAGGTGATTGGAAAAATATTTTTATAACCAACAGCTACCCTTAAAGTAATTTTCTGAAGTACTAGATTGAATTTCATGTGAAGTGTGAAATTTAAGGGACTTTAAAAAATCTGATGCTGTTAAAACTGAGAATTCTGTTTTGGAATATATTTTCTGAGCTTTCTTATTGTACATATAGATGACTTGAAAACATCTTTTTTTCTTAAGAGTTAATCTGTTTTTGTTGCTTATTTATTACTTGCTGTCCAATATGTTGATATCATCACATTATGCCAGGAAAAGTATTCAGAAGAAGAAAGTTATAACACCAGAATTACACGGTCAAGTGCATAGACAAGCCAATGCATTATTTATTTTGGAATGGTGGGATTAGCAAATGCACAGAAGTTAGATAGTTTATAGTATTTTAATTACGTAGAGCTTGAGGATTTATGGGAAATATTGGTTCAAGCCATGTATATATAAACTTCTGCACCAATTATCAGCCATTCTTGAGCTTTCTTATTTTGACATGTTTGGTTCAATTGGAAGTTATCCTAAAATGCTACACAAGGTTAGTTAATGCTTCAACATCTAGCATTTTTTACGTTATAATTTTTGTACAGGCAGTCCCCGACTTACGCGGATCCGACTTATGTCGGATCCGCACTTACGAACGGGCCTTTCTCGCCCCGGAGGTCGAGGTGGCGGATTGCTACCTGCGAGCTCTGGGGCGAGAGAGCCCCATTCGTAAGCTGCTCCGGTGCCCCTGGTCTGCTGGAGACAGTCTCCAGCAGACCAGGGGCACCGGGCGGGTTCCCGCACTTCTGAGGCTTTGCTCTGGGAACCCGCCGCTGCTGCCACTTCAGTCTGGGGGCCCG